TGGATCCCAAATTAACTCTCCAGAAAATAGTGGAAAAGTGTCAGTGTATTGTAAATCTAAAACTTGATACTGCAAGGATTGAGGAAAGAGACATTTCACAAGTACATAGTGCCCAACCATCTAAGAGAAAAGAATGTAGATGTTTTTCAACTCCTAACAGAACAGTAAAAAAAAAAAAATATGATAAACTCCCCTCAATACTTAATACTTGTCATGATAAATGATCAGACATGGAGAAAAATGGGTGAACCCAGTTTATTGACTTCTAATAAAGTTACGCATGGAGTTTCAGGAAAGAGATTGAACTTTTTGGGTGAATTCATTTGTAACATTTCTTTTATTTGGAAAAAAAACAAGAAAGTGTTGGTGTTTGTATTAAAGAATTACTGCTAATTTATTTGGAATAGACTGGAGTACATAATTTGATCTTTGGGACCTTCCAATTAACTCTTTTTGCAACAAAATAAAAATTGTTACCTCCAGTGCAAATGCGGCAACTAAAAAGTTAAAGAATGAATTGAAAAAGAGTTTTCCAGAAGTTTTCTCAGAAGGTCTAGGGACATGCGCAAAAACTAAAGCTGAATTTGAAATAAGAGAATGTAATACTGACATTTAAGCCAAAAAGGAGTGTACCTTTTGCAGTTTTAGAACCAATTAATAAGGAATTAGACATACTAGAAAAATTAGGTGTGACCCCAAAAATAGGACTATTCCAAATGAGCATCACCAACAGTTTATGTTAAAAAAAGAAATAATAAAATTCTTGTATGTGCTGATTTTTCAACAGGGTTAAATGAAAGTCTAAAACAATATAACTACCCATTACCAAGTCCAGAGGAAATTTTTACTGAATTAAATTGTGGTAAATTATTTTCTAAGTTGGACTTGTCAGATGCTTGCCTACAGGTACTAGTAGATGAAGAGTGCTCAAAACTATTAATAGTTAACACTCATAGAGGATTATACAAATTTAACTGACTTCCTTTCGATATAAAGGTAGCACCAAGCATATTCCAACAGATTATGGATACCATGCTTGCCAGTTTGGGTTGGGCACAAGCATATTTAGATGATGTACTTATTAAAAGTAAGACCTGAAAGCAAAATACGGAAGATGTAAAAAAAAAAAAAAGTATTTGAGAGAATTAAAGAATATAGTTTTAAGATCAGTGAAGGAAAATTCAAATTGTTTATGTCCTGACTTGAATATCTAGGACAAATTATCGATGATGACTGGATCATTCAAGGGCAAGTGCAATAAAAGACATGTCTGCTCCAACAAATGTAACAAAGTTACAAGCATTTTTAGGGTTTGCTAATTACTATCATATATACCAAACATGCACAAATTAAGAGCACCTTTGAATAACCTGCTAAAGAAAGATGTGAAATGGAATTGGTCAGATAAATGTCAAAGTGCTTTTGAAAAGATCAAGGAAGTCTTAACGTTAAATTTGTCACTAGCTCATTTCGACCCTAAATTAATGATCGTGGTTGCATCAGATGCAAGTGATTCAGGTATTGAATATGAGGATGGGAAAACTAAACCAATAACTCATGCTTCAAGGTCATTAATTGCAGCTGAAAAAAGCTACAGCTAGATTGAAAAGGAAGCATTGGCCATCATATTTGCTATGAAAAAGTTTCATAAATTCATACATGGTAGAGATTCATACTACAGACTGACCATCATCCATTATTGTCCATATATGGATCAAAAAGGGTGTTCCCACACATAAAGCAAATAGACTGCAGCACTGGAGAACTATCCTATTGAACTATAATTATAAAATAGTTTCTACCATCCAAAAAATTAAGTCCTGCAGATGGATTATCGAGACTAATACCAAAATTCTGCAAACCACTTGAGGACACAGTAATTGCAGTGATAAGGGCCAAAAATGAAATTAATAATGTATTATACAATACTGTAAGAGAACTGCCCATAACATTGGAGGAAATAAGAATTAAGTTGGAAAAAGACAACTTTATAATGAAAATGAAGAAGCAATTATGATTTAAAGGAAAAAGTATTACTGGAAATAATGAATTTTCATTATGTAATAATGTACTTATGTATGCAGAAAGAATTGTGATACAAGAATTGTTGCAAAAAAGGAATTTCACATAGGACATCCAGGAATTTCTAGAATGATATCCTTAATGATATGTTATACTTATTGGCCAAAAATGATCAAAATATTGAAAATTTAGTGAAATCATGCAGAGGTTGTTCTCTGGCAGTGAAGTCACCGCCTATCAAAATTCAACCTTGACTGAAAACTGATATGCCATGGTTCAAAATACATATAGACTTTGCATGACCGTTAAATGAAGCATACTTTCTAATGGTAATCGATAGTTACACTAAATGGTCAGAAATTTGCAAGGTTTGGTGTTCCTGACTATCATTTCAGACAACAGGACACAATTCACATCTAGTGAATTTAAGTTTTTTTTAAATCATTAGCAATAGAACATATTACAACTCTCCCTTATCACCCAAGATCAAATGGACAAGCAGAACAGTTACCTTACTTCTGCTATCCCCTATCATTATAAGTGCTACATTAGGCTGAAAATGGAGTCCTGCTGCCATATTTGGGTTGGAGTTATCCAGTTTTCACTTTCAAGTCTTGATAGTGAAAAAATGTCTAAGCAGCCTTGTGACTAATGAATTGTTTTCCACCTTACCACTCCTTTCCTCACAGACGGAATGTTGCAAGCCTCTTGCTACTCTATCACTATTTCCATGGAAAATGTTCAGACAAGCTATATTCCTTAGCTCCCCCAAGTCTAACCATCCCAGCTAAGACCTGCCACTCTGTGTACATTGAGATAAACTACCTTCATTCACTTTGTATTCCTTTAGTAAAGAGTAAGTTCCACTCAGATAGCTTCTTCCTAAGAACTGTTGCTTTATGGAACAAAATCTCAATAGAGTGCTTTCTCGGCCACTACAATCTTAACCCCTTCAAGTCTATGGTTAACTGTTATCATTCACACATATATCCACATAAACTGTGCCTCATAGTCTTACCACTCACACAACAATTGCCTTCATTATCCCTCTGCCTTGAGTGGCCGTTGGGCCTTATATAGTGAATTTTATTAAAAGAAAATGCACTCCCTTCTCCTTCAAAAATCATGGCATACCAGTGATGAAACATTTTTGCCATATTTGTTGATGGGACACAGAAGAGGTTCAAGCAGGTTCATGTCTTTCTCAAGGATATCAGTGTAGTATAATCATAAACATCTTCTCAAGGATATCAGTGCAGTATATAATCATAAACATCTTCTCAAGGATATCAGTGCAGTATATAATCATAAACATCTTCTCAAGGATATCAGTGCAGTATATAATCATAAACATCTTCTCAAGGATATCAGTGCAGTATATAATCATAAACATCTTCTCAAGGATATCAGTGCAGTATATAATCATAAACATCTTCTCAAGGATATCAGTGCAGTATATAATCATAAACATCTTCTCAAGGATATCAGTGCAGTATATAATCATAAACATCTTCTCAAGGATATCAGTGCAGTATATAATCATAAACATCTTCTCAAGGATATCAGTGCAGTATATAATCATAAACATCTTCTCAAGGATATCAGTGCAGTATATAATCATAAACATCTTCTCAAGGATATCAGTGCAGTATATAATCATAAACATCTTCTCAAGGATATCAGTGCAGTATATAATCATAAACATCTTCTCAAGGATATCAGTGCAGTATATAATCATAAACATCTTCTCAAGGATATCAGTGCAGTATATAATCATAAACATCTTCTCAAGGATATCAGTGCAGTATATAATCATAAACATCTTCTCAAGGATATCAGTGCAGTATATAATCATAAACATCTTCTCAAGGATATCAGTGCAGTATATAATCATAAACATCTTCTCAAGGATATCAGTGCAGTATATAATCATAAACATCTTCTCAAGGATATCAGTGCAGTATATAATCATAAACATTCTCTGCTGAAATTTGAATTTAGTTTACTGATTAACTTTTCTTTGTTTAACCCAACTGATTTGTATTTCCATCAAAAGTATATTCTATCACCTCTTCACGAATTATAAACTTGAACAAACCTTTCTAAATGTCAATTTTCTTTAGTTTTAAAGAATTTTAATCCTACCATAATTAACTGCCTGTCTAAATGATGACACAACAGACTCAAGTATTTCTTGCCCTGTCTAGCTACCTTGTTTTGTTTTTATTGAATTGTTGTTTTCTATATTCAAACACCAGGTGTTTTTTTTTCTTGCATGTGTATGTATCTTTTATAGTCATAGGTAAATAAATACTAAATTTGTAAAACTAAAGTATTTTTTTTACTTTCTAAATCTAAGTACAAATATGAGTTTTGACATAGAAGTTATTTCTTTAAACATACCCACAAAAATATACATCATGTATATACTAGCGCATAGTGAAAATTTTATGTTCAGTTTTTTTATGCAAAAGCTAGGGAGTCGCACTATACATGGGTTTTTTTTTTTTTTTTTTTGAAGGGTTTAAAAATCTTGCATTTTCGGTGACCAGTTGCACTATACATAGGCAATTTTTTTCTGTATTGGTTAAAATTCATGCAAAAAAATTCAGTGGCCGCACTATACATGAATTTGGCTTATACATGATATTGTATGTATGTATGTATGTGTGTGTGTGTGTGTGTGTGTATATATATATATATATATATATATATATATATGAATGAGACAATCATAAAAACTGAATGCGGTTGTCAGATCCTCATACCTCAAAATCAATGCATGAATCCATCACTTGCTGGAAGTAAACATTAATTTGGACTTATTTTTGTACTTAAGTGATAAGATAATTCACATTCTTCACAAAGCAAAGTATTAGAAATTATAAAAAGAATTAACCTATAAATAAGACCCCATAATTTTTCCTTGTACTAGCTTTAATGTTTAATTTAATATTTTTTTTCAAACTATTTTTCAGGGTTGTCATTCAAGTGACCAGTGAGGGACAAGATAATCGTTCTGTTTCTCCATATTTCCGAAAAGATCAGAATGAAGGACTGCAACAAGAATGTGGGTCTGAGCAGCCCTCAAAGTCCTTTAGAAGTGCAATGCCACCAGGACAAAAACATATATTTATGACAACCCCGCCCAAGTCAAATAACCAACCTTTCCCTTTAGGACATTCCTCTATCAAAGTACAAACTACTAAACAAATGGCACCCCCATCGAAAACACCTTCTCCGAACTCAGTAGGTGGGACAACACGAAGTGTGTCCCCAGCTACCAGGAATATATCGCCAGCACAAGTTCAGATTGTTACAAATCACAATAACCCACCAGCTACTGAAGGAATTCTGCAGAGTAGCAATTTTCTTCAGGTGAAACAAACACAGTCACCAGCACTCATACAAGCATTGCTGCAAAATCGTGCTCCTTCTCCAAATCAAAGACTTTCTCCAGCCCTTATAAGCAGGAACCAGGAGGGATTCCAACAAAAGATTGTTGTTACTCCCTCTGTATCCCCCAACAGAGTTGTCAGTGCCACAGAACCTGCACATGATGGCTCATCTACCATTTTCATCACCACTGATGGGAATCAAATAATCAATCAATCGGCAGCCCAATCGCAGATAACATCGATTCCAATTGTTGCCAACCACCCTTCAACTCAGTTATTTTACATGAAGAAATCTCCAAATGTATCTCAGCTCTCATCACAGCTTAAAGTGCAACCATTGCAGGGAATGCAGATCAAACAAGACCAACTTATTTTAAATTCAATTATTGTTGACAAATCACAGACTGCATCTGACAAAGGCATTGTTTCAATCCAAGGTACTCCATCACTTCTTTTGTCAGTTCCAAAAGCCAATGAACCTGAACAAACTCTTGTAGGCAATGAAGCTGGACTACGATCATCTGTTTATAGCCCAGTCATGGTTACAACACAATCTACTGGACCTTCAATACCTCCAGCACTCCTAGATCAATTAACTCAAGCCAGAGAGAATATAACATTTACAAATATAACAACTGCAGTTTCAATGCCAGGTGCTTCAGCTGTGACCCAGGCCCCAATTCTAGCAAAACGCCTTGCTGCCCCGGCCACCAGCAGTATTACTTTCTCTGGTCAGTTGCCCTCCGGATTAAGACCTCATCTTGTTATTCCCTCAACCAATGCTAACTTGCTGTCCACGGGGTTAGGTTCTGCACCTAATGTTCAGCTCATCCCAACATCTTCAGCTAGTTTTGCTAATCCATCACAATTGAATATTTTATCAGTTCCAAATAGTCAACTTCCATCATTAACCCTAACTGAAAACACATCTCTCTTACAGCAGGTGACAACAGCTCAACCAACTTCTGTCAGCACACAGCAAAGGAACCCAATTGTAGTTTCCAACGTTGCTGTGAACATCCAACCAGCTATGGTTACGTCCAACCCACAGTTGGTGCCGTCCATTACAGAACGCTTGCCAGTTGCTAGTTGTAGCACTTCAAACTCTGGGAACACGAGTCTGTTAACTTCACATCCGACTCTAACTGAGAGGTTGACAATGACTACTAACCCCTCGCAAGCAAAGATATCCCAACAGCTGAGTGCTGCCACAAATTGTGAAAATACTGTTACCTATTCTGCTGTTGTTGCTTCTACTCCCCAACTCATCTCAGCACCCGTCCGAACTGTGCGCAGTGAATTTTCTGATCTCTCAACTGCCAAATGTATCACAACTCAAGCAGTTGCACCAAATCCTAGTGGCACTAATTCGCAATATTTAAAGATCATTACACCAAATGTTGGATTAACTCAGAATCAGTCAGGGCAAGTTCGGAAACTTGTTTTTACTGACCATCCTGAAAAATCAATTCCGCAGTCTTTAAAGACAGGATTCCAGTCAAACCAAGCAGCAATGCTAGTTAATCCAGACAATAGGGGACAACATGGTTTTACACCTGTTAAAGGTGACCTCCAACCTCAATATGTTTCAATGAAACCTCTTTCCTTTGAAGTGGCATCAGACTCTATTAGATTAATTGAAGTACAGGGGCAGCCACTAAAGACTACTAGTATCATGACTTCAACTTCAGCATTAACACCATCAACAACAGCATCAACAACATCATCAATTTCTAATCCTGTCACAAGTTCAAATGTGAATTCATTAGCAAATCCTCTTGTGACTGCCAAAACTGAGACTGTAAATGCACTGGAATATCCTAAATTCTCCAATGCTGTATTAATGCCGACTTTAGTGGAGAAGATAAACCAGGTGCCTATAACAACTGAATCTTCTGTTCAAAGGATAGTACAATCAGAGATGCTGCAAAGAGCAAAACAGGCTCGGTCTGAAACCATTGCTCGAGATTTGGATACTTCATTCCCATTCCCAAAGGTTGTTCCAAAGGAATCCAAACTTGAGCCAACAAAGAATGCTAAAACTGCTAATAAAAATGATGAAGTGAATCCATTTTTTGCACAGTTGCGTGCATCTGCTGCTTCATCTTCATTTTCATCATCATTGTCAACAGTTGGAGCATTACCTTATAAGACATTTCAACACAACTCTTCTACTGCTTTCCATGGCCAAGCCAGTCAACTGAGAAGAGCTGTACATAGTGGTAGCAGTAGCTTTGGTAGTTTTTCAAATATTGATGCTGCTGCTACAAACAGTCAAACCGGTGCCTATTCTATGTTTTTAGATTCAGACAGATTGAGTCCAAGTCCGCCAGGCTTTCTCTCAGACATTGATCAGCCCAGGATTGGCACAAGTTCTGAGAAACAAAACCCTTGGGATAAAGCTCCCACAGACAAAGACCAATCTGTCAGTAACGACGCTGTAAAAGAGGATGAGAATGAAACTAAGGGAACAAGTGCCTTGAAAGATGATGCACTTTCTAACAATGTTAATGAAAAAGAACCAATTGTAAGTATTTTTATATTTTAATCTGAAATGTTCTCAATTTTTAAAATTCATGGTCAAGACTAACATTGGCTTGCAAAAGTATCATGTTTTTGCAATATCATCAAAGTTAGAACAAAAAAAAAATTGTTCATTTTTTCTTTTTCAAATTCCATATATAGAATGTGTCATATATTTGTAAAATTAGATCATGGATTAGCACATAGAATTTTTTTCATGGCATTTATTATTACAGATTCATCTAAGAAGGAACACTAGTTTAAGACTAGACACAATTTCTTTCTAGTAGTACATTTAATATTTGTAAAATTATCTTTAGTTATGGAATATATATTAAACTCCAGATCTCAGGTGTTCTGCTGTTTATATTGAATACCTGGTACCAAGTCTTTAAAAAAGTAAGTTTACACTAAAAACCAACATTTCTCTCTCTCTTCTAAAAAAAATTCTGCTTAAAAGCTATTTAAAGTATGGGTCTTTATTAAAATAGTACATATGAAGTGTGTACACTCTATTCATTTTTCCAATAGTTTATTAAAGAAAATAAATGTGGGAATATAGTTGCAGCAAAAACATTACCACAGCAAGAAAAGTGGTCAGTGGAAAATCAAACAGGATTTTTTTCTGAAAGAAAACAAAATTTTACCCTCTTTATTCTAAATATTTTTAATTGAATTCACCCCATGCAAGGCACTATGACACAAAGTGTTACTGGATGTAAAAGAATTAGAAAACAGAAACATTATTAAGGAACAAAAAGAATAGAAGAATAATCAAGAAAACAGTAGATAATAATTAACGCTGCATTTAAATTTTTGAAGATCAGAGTTGGTTTGAAAGCATGGAGCTGGAAGAGTGTTCCACAAGTGAAAGGTGTGAGAGAAGAAAATGTTAGCATAGAACTTAGTTACATCTAGCCATTCCAACTGTAAATTGATGAGACCTTTTTGCCAATCTACATTTAAATTCATAAAGTCTAGGTACCATACCAAAGAGATCATCTGAACAATTACCATGAAAGTATTTATTGAAAAGTCACAGGTAAGCAACATTATGGAAGTGGGAAAGTGACTGAAACTGAGACACCAAGTCAGGACCAATAATATTGGTGATTCTTCTTTGGGTTGTATCAAGGATCTCTAAATATATAGCAGAAGTACTGGACCAGATGTGGGAGCAATATTTGAAGCATAGACAAATGGTAGACTTATAGATATGTATAAGATAGATTCTGGATAGAAAAATTGTTTAGCATGACACAATGAACCAACTTTCTTAGTTGCAGACTTAGCAATGGATTCAATATAGTCTTTCCACTTTGTTAGCTGATGGAAGACAGTGCTCTCTCAAATGATTAATAGAGAGCAGTTTTGTTTTGGAAGCATTAAAATCAACAAGCCATTCTTTGCCCTATTTAACAAGAGATAATAGATCAGTTTTTCAGTTATATTTACATTGTTTTCTATTCCATGTATACGTGAGATGCAGGATTAAGGAAGAATATTCATCAGTTTTATGAATGAGTCTATTTTATTTGATTTTTAATATTTTAATCCCTTTCATTTTTTTTAACACCATAAGGAACTAATAGAAAAGAAAAAGGTTATCTAGATATCTTAAGAGTGAATGGTGAACTGGTTGAATAACTGTCTTACTAGAAAACAGGTATTATTGCAAAATATATTTTACAAGTATGCATTTCCATTGGATAAACTTGAATGTACAACATGCTGGGAAGACACATTTCACCTGGAGATCATCAGATAATTTGCTTGTTGAAATATTGTATTTAAAAGATAACAAGGAAATTAATTTTAGTTTGGAAATTACAAATGTCACTAATATCTCCTATAATACAGATTTTGATTTTGATTTTTATTGTTTATTTATTATTATTTTTTTCTTTTTGTCAAGCAATTACTAAGTTTGTTAGTGGCTCTATGGTAAAACTTAATAGTACTTTTCTTTTTTTTTTTCCTAGCCACAGCCTTTCAGCATGCGGCTGCAAACGTTAAACAACTTTCCTGGAAACCATGGATGTAAGTCAACATTCCGATGCCATCCTACAGCTATAAATAAAGCAAAGTAAGTTTACCTTTTAGTATTATCTGACATTTGTATACCTTTTTGTTGGAGAAGAAGAAAAAGAATCTTGAGATCTTTTCTGTATTTCTTTCAGATTAATATTTATATTTTGATGAGATATGTTTTTGTACTTTTTTGAGACAGAGTAAGTAAAAATAGATTTATTCAGATAGATTTATTAAATAGAATATATAACCCTCATTCTTTGAAAGAAAATGAATCCTATTTATAAAAAGCTATAAATATACAAGCATTTTGTCAACATAAAAGCATGACTTCTATTAGTTTTTGAGGTGCAAAGAAAACTATCTAATTTGTATATTTACATATTGGTTATGACGAAGGTGTGACAAAGTTAATATTCCTCAAATACTATCTCCTCAAAATGTCCTGATACTATCCTCTTGATATAAAAGGGAGGATCTCTTGTGCTTTATCAATTCTAAGTAGAGTGATTGTCAACTCTGTTGCAATTTCAGATTGAACACATACATAGTGGGATTCCTATTTTCTGTCTCTAGCTCATTATTTTGCTTGTATATTTTTTAAAAAGGTAGTTCTTATCCCAAGTTAGGGCACTCTATACAAAATGCGTGTATATCTATTGATAGTCACTAAACTTCCCTAAAAGATATATGAAATCTTTCTATAGAATGATGGGATCCTGTGTAGATGTGGAGCAAAAGTGAGATGTGACACAAGCTGTAGAAGGGAGTGAAGCACTTGGTCAATTAGCTACCTTGAAATATGCTAACTTTGTCAAGGAGGTAAAGATAATTATTGAATATTTGAGAAATAATAATTGAGAGGACTTTAGAAGGAATCAGAAACCCGATACTAAACAGGAAACCAGGGATAAATCTCCACTACACTTCAAAAGACCAGTGGTATGGGGGGACCAAGCGATATGCAAGCATATCTACTATTTTTTTGGTTACTAAATAATAATCTTTAATAATAAAAAAGGACTGCATTAGATTGTGATGTATATTATAGAAGTTTGTATGACCAACAATAAGTAACAATCTTAAAGAAGTTGAGTATAAAGCAAACCTACATTTTATACTATTGAAATGATGGAACGAGAGTGTATGGAAGGGAGATAACTTTAGTTTCCCTATTTTCATCTAGTTGTTGCTTTTGATCACAATGTACAGCATCACTACATTATTTGACCAGTATGTTTCTTTAATAGATATCACCTTAATTACAGAAGCTTCAATGATTTAAGTAATGCACAATCATTCTTTTATTTTTTCCTCCTTGCTCTTATTTTTGTTTTACTATCTAGTTACAGTAATCTTTTAATTTTCTTTTTCACTGCTATTATTTCATTATTAGTTATACTCTTTCTTTTTTTATCACAGCATTTTTCACTAAGTAGAGCAAGCATCATGAAATTGGAAATAAATATCTGTGGTAAAAAATATTGAGAGAGATTTCGATAGTTGATCAATATTGGATGAATGTATGTTTGGATCAGGTGACTGAAATCCTATCATAAATCATGGGTCCAATATTTACAGAGAAAGAATATAAAAAATACCCTCATCATTTATATAATCTATGATTTTTACAAGAAAGGGAAAAGATAGTACAAAAAAACAATCACTGACAGTCCTCTCAGCTACAAACCTTATATCTACTATGGCAAAGCATTCCCTGTCAAACTTTCCATTCATTCTGGGTATGTGTTATATTCTGTGCTAAGGGAATAAATACTTAACACCAGGTGGATAATAGAAGAAAGGTTTATTGTACACAACCAGTACAATATGAAATAAGGTACAGTTATACACACAGGTCAATTTAGTAGTGAGTGCCACTAACTGGAAGGTCAGACGTGCTTGCGTCTTCTTGCTATCACTCTTCCTCAAGTCTCTCATAGACAGTTGACTTTATAGGTACTTAGTATCTATAGTATACTCATTCATGGGGGGTGACTGGTTATTCCATTACATCAGTATGAAAATAAACTACATCCAGCAGCAAGGCCTCTGATTGGGAGATTGGAGGTTTTGAGGATCATGGAACCACCTCTTAATTGCTGTTGTTCCTAGATCAATCATGACCTGGGGTAGTAACATCTGTTAGGGTCTCAGCTATGGGAAAATAGTTAGCTCCCAAGCTGTGGTCAAACACTATGAAAGTATAAAAATACATTTTTATAGTGAAAATACCAGCAAGACATTTTTATAAAGAAAATTACTAATGCTCTCAAGATAATTAAATTTCAGCATTAAATGACCCATAAGGAGTTGATATGTCACTAAACAAACTTTCCATCAGAATTTCTGGGATGAATTATCATTATTTACACTATTTATAGTCGGGCTATTGTCCTTATTTTTGTTGTTCTTATTCTCTAGTCTTCATTAGGTATACATTGATCCAGGTAACCTACAGGGAATTTTGAACTAAACCCTTTATTTAATCAATGAGGGTTGATTGTCCTTGTTCTGTAGGGATATCTTTTCTAGTTCTTATTTTTAGTACTTGCTCAGTTATTACTTACCACTGAATCTTAGGGTTTGAGCTCACAATTACTATGTTACCAAATTCACAAGCAACACTAGATTATTATCCCATGGGACAATTCTCTGGTAAACTTGGAGCCTTGAACCTAACCTACCTGCTGATTAGTACTGCTGCCTGTCATGTTTGACTGCTGCTGTTGAAGACTTGCTCTCATTTGTCTTTCTTTATTAGAGGCTCTCATATTGCATTTTCATCCTGGGTAAGACGTTAAACTACATCCGCATCCTGGGTAAGATGTTAAACTATATCTAGCAGCAAGGCCTCTGATCAGGAGGTTTTGAGGAGCATGGAACCACCTCGTAATTGCTGGTATTCTCAGGTCCACCCTGATCTGGGGTGGTGGCACCTGTTGGGGTCCTAGCTATGGGCAAATAGTTAACTATTATCAGCAATACGTTTTTGAAAAAAATTATTACCAGCAATACAATTTTGAAGGAAATATATTACCAGAAACAAATTTTTGACAAAACAAAATATTACCAGCAATAAAAAATTTTGTCAGCATTAAATAACCCATTGAGGTTGATATGCCGTAAAAAAAAAAAAAAAACAACAACAATCTAAACCAAAGAATACATATTCTATTCGTACAAAGCTATCCTAAAAATGTTTTTGGCATTAAATAACTCATTGAGGTTGATATGCCATTAAACAAAATAAACCAAACCAAACCATATTGTATTTATTTCTATAAATGGTGTAAATACTGTCAGACTTGTTACACTCTCACTGTAGCTGAAATAACATTCCTTCTTTCATATCAGCATTCTTTTTACTGAAGGATGAACACTACCAATATTCAAATATATGCCTCAGATAAGAGTTTTATTTAATTTTATTTTGATTACCAAACCATACACAGTCTACTTGGTGTCTCTTTTGATACTACCCATTGTTTCCACCACACTTTATCTTGATCACAAAGGTGATAGTATAGAGCTAGTCTTTCACATCAGTTATGTTGAATCATCTATTTATAAGGATTTGGCTAATGCACTTAATTCAAGCTTGACCAATTTCTAATAATGTGTGAATTTGTTCATTTGGCATTGCACCTATCTCCAAAACAGAACAAGGGCTCTTCACCTGATATAATAACCTATTGACCAATACTGAAGGATGTTATCAATATTCAGATTCATGCCTCAGATAAAAGGAATTTAAAAAAATAGTTTTTATTAGGATTGATGAACTACTGTGTGTCACTTTTGCTATTGGCCAATAAATCAATTGTTTTCAATTCTGTTAGATTCACAACTAGTTTCCACCACTATTTTGAATAGTTAAAACTTTTTCTTATGGTAAAAATATTATACTATTTAAAAAAAAATTTTTGAGAATATATGATGTTTTCAGGGCTGCGGCCTGGTCACAGCACCAATTATGATATATTCTGGACACAGCCTACCCACGGCGATGAATTATAAGACGGCATTCTGGGTCCGGTCTGCTTCGGTCACCAGGTATGGCGGTACTCAGAATCAATCCTGGTCCACTCAGTTGGTCAGGATCGATCCCAATATCAGAGAACAAGCCATCAGCCCACTCGTCGGTCATTGATGGCGTTTGACACAGCAACTGGTCACAAAGTTGACCTCTTCAACTGTGACCTCTCTTACCCACGTTGTGATTTTGATCTTAAGAGGGTCAAGCCGAATTTCCACTGGGGTATCTTAACCACACTAAACCAAGGAGTTGAACACGTGCATACAAAATTGAAAAATAAAATGAACGACACCCGAATAAGTCACAATATGATGTTTATATCAAAATAACAAAAAAATATTTACAGTTTTCTTCTTTGTTCTTTTTCTTTTCCCAACCCGTTCTAATAATTGGTGATGGAACAAAAATTGCTGGTAGCTTCTTTGAAGAGTGACCAGACTTGACAACTGGCTTTATCTTCAAATACTGTGATTTGTACTTTCATGGATGGCACAAGGATTTTGTCAGAGTTTTTCTTCTTCAGCAGATAATTATTATTATTCTTATCATTAGGTTGGCAAGCAGCAGTATATCAGAAATCTCTTAACTCCTCCGACCACCTTCAACTGCAACTCCAACGGCAAATAACCCTAAATCCAACTCCAACTAACTTTGGCCCATGTGGGCACTTGTATTTATAGGTGTCCCTTTCAACTGGTGTGGTGTGGGCAAATAGGTGGCTTTTATGCACATCTCCCAAAATTCAACCAGTTGTTTTCTTTCGTTTTCTATTTCACATTTCCAATTTTGGAAGAGCCCCTCCTCCTTTGGGAGGAGCCATTATATGATGTCAGCTTTTCTGACATCATCTTCTGTTTTTAAATCTGTTTACAATTGTAATTTTTTTGTTGGATATTTTGGCTGACTTTTTTTCAGTCAAGCCGGACATCTTTCAACAGCCGACCTTAACCTCTGGCCTCTGATCCTGCACCTGTTCGTCAAACTGTATTTAATTTTTTCAACAAAATTGATACATC